CTGGGTAGTACACTGAGCAGTTTCTTTTTTCACGAGCTCTGAAGTAGACCTCCTGAACTCTGAACAGATCTTGAAAGCTCTATTCCAATGTTAAATGTATGTATGAAGCACCTAAAGTCTGTGTCTTCAGTTTTTCTAAACAGCAGTCTTCTATCCCATCTTGATGCTACTTCTGATTCCACATTTGGAAATTCTTAACTTCTTAAAATTTTTTTCTTTTATATGGTAGAATCTCATGCATACTTTTTATCTTTTTAAACTTTACTTTCTCATGAATACTTTTTAATAGGTTGGCTTATCTACAGTTAATGTGCACAGTTACCTAAAATTCTTTCTTTCCTCATTGCCCCTCAACACTGTGCCTCTAGGTGAGATTATGCGCCCAAACTGCAGGATCCCATAGGTGCTTCCGTGGCATCACCTTCTGATGATTCATTATAGCAAATTCCATACCGCTAAAACGAATCCTCAAATGAGATCCAGGGATTACTGACAAAGACCAGGTTCTTTTTTATAGCTTAGAAGCAGGGTGGTAGAGCAGAAGGAAGATGGACTGAAGTCCTAGATTCACATCCCAGTTGGACCACTCACACCCTGACTGATGGCACTTTGAGTGTCCTCCCGAGCCTCCGTTTCCTCATTTGTAAAGAGGGATGACAGTCCTATTCTACTGCATTTGTGTAGTAAGGATTAAATTATGTCATATGAGAAAAGGGCCTAAGACTGTGGCTGGCAAGTAGAAGGCATCAAAAATGGTAGTTGTGTTGTCATTATTTTTTTTCTCCCCAACTAGACTGCAAGTTCCTTAAGGCCCAAGATCTGATTGATTCCACTCACTGTTGTTTCCAGAACAGTGCCTGGAATGTGGAAAATTCTTAATACACACTTAGTGAGTTAATATTATTACAATTATCAAGTTAACAACTTGTTAACTCCAGCAGCTTCCTTGAGGGATACCTTCTACATCCTCTTTTCTTTTTAAAATCAAGTCCAAGCATGAGTCCTTTTCCCATGAAGCCACCCCTAACATGCTCTAATTTGTGGTTATCTCATACTTCTCATATTTAACTGACACCATCACCTGCACCCCACCCCCTTATCATTTATATTCAAGACCAAATAGGAATGGACTGCATAATACAACGTATGGTCTGTATCATTGTCTAATTACTTCATATTGGTGAATCTTGTCTTCTTAACATTCAATTCCATCAATATTTCTTGATTATTTACCTAGTGCTGGGCACTGTGGTAGGTTCTGGAAAGGAAATGGTAGCTGCCTCAAGAAGTACCCAGTCTCTTAGTGGAAATAGATGTATAATCAAACAGTGACAACAGTGTGATGTGAAAAGCTATACACGCATAGTATCTAGGTAGCAGAGAGGTGAGAAAGTGATTAACCTTCTTCAAGGTCAGGGAAGACCTCCCAGGAGAGGTTATGAGGGAACATGATTTTAAAGAATGGTAAGCAATTTTCCAGGTTAAGTTGGGAGTAGGGGAAAATATTCCAAGGCGAGTGAACAATGTGTGCCAAAGGACATGAGATAACAAGATATTATCCTGGAGAACTTAGAAGCAACTCAGTACTGTTGAGTATAAGTAGAGAAGCTGGGAAATGAGGAGGGATCAGGAATTGGTGCATAGTAAGATTGGAGACAAAGGCAGTGGCCATATCTTGCAAAATTTTGAATGTTGTAATCAATGTAGGTGATGGGGAGCCCTGAATGTGATGATCCGATAGACCTTAGAAATGACCTATGATAGCAGGGTAGATAAATTGGGAGAAAGAGACGGAAGCTTAGCAATGAGTCAGGAGGAAGTAGTAAAGGTCCAGATGAGAGAGACTAATAGCCCCGTTGAGCCAGTGATGATAGGGCTGATAAACGATTGGACTGATTTTTAAGAAGAAAGTTTGTAATTGATATGACTAGCTTAGTCATTGGAGGTAGAAAGATAAAAAGGAGGGGAAAGAAAGCATTCTTTTATTGCTTTGTATTCTTGATAAAGCATAATACTAATCACATAAAAAGTGCTCAGAAGTAGTTCATCAATAAGCAAGTCCCTATGGCATTATCTGGTCTTGATTTAATTTTATTTTCAATTTTTTTTTTTGATGTAGACTATTTTTAAAGTCTTTATTGAATTTGTTACAATATTGCTTCTGCTTTATGTTTTGGTTTTTTGGCCCCGAGGCATATGGGATCTTAGTTCCCCGACCAGGGATTGAACCTGCACCCCCTACATTGGAAGGCGAAGTCTTAACCACTGGACCGCCAGGGAAGTCCCAGTTCTCAATTTTAAAATTACTTTCTATGAACTAGAGCCTTCCAAGCTCCTGCCCAGCCTCTTGGTATATTTCCAGTCTGCAAGGATTCTCAATATTTCCAAGTTGTTCGCAAACAGAAAACCAAAAACTGACTTTGTTTTCCAACCACATATTTATCTATTTAGGCAGTTGTTAGCAGAATATTCAGAAGTCTGCGAATAAAGTGGCCTAACTAAGAACAAAGAAGGAAAGATGTCAAACTACCCACATACAGCATGAACCTTCTTTTCAGGATTACATAGAGTAACAACACAATTTTTCTTAGTATTCAAGGTCATCTTGACCTCATTTAATCTTTAACTGTGTATCATAAACACAGATTTTTCTTGGAAAACGATTTCCAGGCTACACAAAGAAATGTCAAACTCAGTCTATCAGAGCTTTAGAATTATCAGGGAAGATGAACAACACAGTATAAACAAAATTACTTATTTCCATAGGCTACACTCCAATTACACAACAAAAGATGAGGAATTCTTCCATTGATAAGATGGGTATCTTACATGTATTTTTATTTGTTTCTAAGAATTGAAAATGGAACCATAAAGGCTTCAAATAGATTTTGAAGAGGTGATTTTAAATGATCAGAATTTTTGGAAGCATATCATATGTATGTGTGATACACATGGTCTCTTAAGACTTTCTTTTAAGACAAGGTCAGCAAATTACAGTCTCTTGGCCAAATCTGACCCATCACCTGTTTCTGTACTGCCTTGAGCCAAGAATGGTTTTTACATTTTTAAGTGATTGAAGGAAAAAAATCAAAAGAAGAATAATATTTTATGATATGTGAAAATTATCTTAAATCCAAATGTCAGTGTCCATAAATAAAGTTTTCTTGGAGCACAGCCCACCCATTTGTTGTGGATTGGCTGCATTCAGGCCACAATGGCAGAGTTGATAGTTGTGCAAAGCCTAAAAGTATTTACTATCTGGCTCTTTCGAGAGAAAATTCGCCAACTTTGTTTTAAGAGCTTTCCCCTAAAGAAACACTGAGGACTTCAGTAAACTGAAGACTGCTTTACAAAGATTTCCTGTGTCAGTGATATGTGCTTTTTTTTTTTTTTAGTGATATGTTTTTTAAAAAAAGAAAAGAAAATGCACACATTCAGGAAAGATAATAGAGTTGCCATATCATAAAATAATAGACATGCCTTTATTAGATTTAGGATGCTTCTCTTTGCACTTTGTGTCAGTGGAGAAGAGTTATTAAGAACACACACTCTAGAGTCATCCTTTTTTCTTGAATCCTGATTAGCTTTCTGTGACCTTGGGCTAGTTATTTAACATTCTGTAAGCCTTGGGTTTCCTATAAAAAAATAAAAAAGAGTAATAATGGTACCATCCTCATGAAGTTACAGTGGTATGAAGTGGGGTGAGTTTTTTAAAGGAATTATTTAGCTCGGTACCTGGTACATAGTGTGCAATACATTTGTGTGTGTATGTGTGTGTGATTATCATCATTATCTGAAAATGTCACTTTCTGGTGGTCCACTCCCAGAACTGCCTATCACTTCTGTTTTTACAAGGAAATCCACAAAACCCTGCTTATATAATTTCCCTCAGCAAGAGCCCTTCTTTGTATTGCCTGCAGAAAAACTGTCCAGGGTGCACAAATCCAAGAGTGTACTTGACAGGAGGGTGGGAAAGGGGATGCCTAGGATGTCTAAAAACAAAGATCACAGACATTGTGTTGGAAGGCTGGTCAGCGGCCGGATTAAGCTGGTGAGCAGGATGTTGGGAATTTCATCCTAACTTTTTCTAGGGAGAGTCCACAGTTCTGTGATGGGCTGTTGATAAAAGCTCTTTAATTTAGTAGCTAAAGTCTTTTTTTAAGAGTGTCTGAAGTTTTTGTCATTTTATCTCTTTTTACGTTAGGTTAACATTGACATTTTTCTTTTATTACTTGATGTTTTAGCTGATGTTTCCAACCAGAAGTGCTCTTAGAAAAATCATGAGGGTGTAAGGCTGACATTCTTGGAAACTTAGTGATTTCTTTCCTCCTGGGATGCTCCTGCCTATCTCCTGGCTGAGCTTGCTCTAGACTCATCATGACTATGGGTGACTGCAAAGGCCTGATTCCTTGCCTATGATGCTACTTCCCGTGTCTTTCCTCATGTCTATAAATAGGTCATGACCAGCCTCAAGAGAAGTGGCCTCTTCTGCTTAGGGGTGATCTGGAATAATTGGTATAAATGACATGAGGAGGAGAACCTTCCTTAGTTGCCCCTTATAGAACAAATCTCCACCCAAAGAGAACTAAAAGGGGAGAAAAATCCCCTAAGACAAACAATTCCTTTGTCTCCCCATCCCCCAAAATCATTTACAGAAATATCAGAAATCAAGAAGGCAGCAGATATCTCCACAATCCAGCTGAGAAACAGAATTTCTATAGGTTCATTTCCATTTTTTTTTTAAAATCACATAAAACTGTTTGCACAGATCTCACTTTTTTTACCTCCTGTGTTTTGTGTCTTGACATATTGTTTTGAGGAAAATCATTCTGTATTTTATCCTTGTTCCTCAATTATGGTTGAACTATCATGGTTAATTGAGTTTAGCCATCCAAAAGAAGAACAAAATATTTCAGCGTTCTTATATGCTCTAGTTGGACTCGTGGTTAAAAAGACAAACACAAACACCCTCACGTCACCCTGGTGTGTCGGGATAAAATCCAACACTGTAATGCTCACACGCTTGCCGGTGAGTAGAATGGGCTGGGGGAGGAGGTGACCTCTGTTTGCTGGTAGGAGTAGCTCTCATCATCGTATTCCAGTTCATCTTCATCATCGTCATCCAGCAGCCCATACTTAAATTTCCGGTAGACAGTGCCATCTTGGCCCATGTAGACAATGTCATCCTCATCGTCCTCATCATACTCCCGGTCCCTGTACTCAATCACCTGATCCTCTTCAAAGCTGGTGCTCTCGCGATGACTGCTCTTGTAGGAGGAGTAAGACTTGCTAGGGTCAGCCAGCTTTGCATAGCCGGCCTTTTCTGTGGGCCTGACTCTGCCCCGAGATTTCCTCCAGATGATCACAGCTGCCCCGAGCAGAAGCGCCAGCATAACGGAGGAGGTGATGAGCAGGGCTGTCCTGGAACGCTCACCTGCAGGCTCAACCTCACTTGCTCGAAGGATACACTCATCTGTTGGAAGATGACCCCAGAGGAAGAGGGCAGAGGGGAAGGGTGGCAGAGAAGGAATGGAGAAAATTAGTTTCTGAGGTAAAGAGGTTCACCTTTATCTTTTGAATCTAAAATGGTAGAACCACTGTCTTCGATTTTCTTAGCACACCCCTCTACAGAATTGCTCCGTGTCTACTCCCATGAGAGTTTCAGTCTATCCCAGATGATACCAACAAACTCTTCTAGGGAGAAAGTCAGTTTGAGATCCAAAGGGAGCCCCCTCATACCCATACGTCATGGGTGAGTCACCAAGTGTCCAACCTTACCAGATCGATTCTTCTACTTCCTTCCTGAGAAAAATGTTCCATCTTGGGCCAGCCTTCAGTTATTGCTGAATGCTCCATTTCTGTTTCAACTCTGACTTTTTCTAAGACTGAATCTTTTCCCCAGCTACCTTTAAACCTGATTCAACAGGATTATCCCACAATTCAAAGATAGGAACAAATTATTTATAAAGCCATTGATTCATCGCTGCGTGGGGTCATAGAAATCACAGGTCAATCTGTAGTTTGATAGTTGAGGAAACCGAGACCCACAGCGAGAAAGTGAATTGTCACATTGTCACAGGTAAGGACTTGTTTATGGAGCAATCAGAACTCAAACCCAGGAATCCTTGCTTCATGCTACAGTCTGGAGACATTAGGGTAAAACACTGATAAAGGTTTTTTGACTTCTTGGCATTCTGTGGACCTAATTTGGTAGCATGAAAAGTACCATCTTTAAATTCTGACTACCAAATTGAGTGATAGGGGTTTCTTCTATCATAACTAAGATTTCTGAAGTTGAGAGCTCTGCCCCCCTGTCATCCACCATTTGTTTTGATGCCTTCATTGAAAATATGGAGTAACCAAAAGTGTCATAATTCAGTGATGAGCTCGTGTTTTGTACTTTTTTTTTTTGCGGTATGTGGGCCTTTCACTGTTGTGGTCTCTCCCATTGCGGAGCACAGGCTCCGGACGCGCAGGCTCAGCGGCCATGGCTCACAGGCCCAGCCACTCTGCGGCACGTGGGATCCTCCCAGACCGGGGCACGAACCCGTGTCCCCTGCATCGGCAGGGGGACTCTCAACCACTGCGCCACCAGGGAAGCCCCCATTTTTTTGTACTTTTTACTCATTTATTCAGGTGGTATAATTTGGGTAAGTTACCTAATTTTTTTTTTTCCTGTTCTTTAACCCACCAAATGGGAGTGTGAAAGAGAGTATGAAAGAACCAGAGAAAAAACTAGCAGGCCTTGTTGGATGTACAAGTTGAAATACACAGTATGTTTTCCATAAACACTTTTTTTTTTATATAAGGATGTTCTGTTCCCAGAAGAGAACATCCTTTTTATTTTTATTTATTTATTTTTTTGTGGTACGCGGGCCTCTCACTGTTGTGGCCTCTCCCGTTGCGGAGCACAGGCTCCGGACGCGCAGGCCCAGCGGCCATGGCTCACGGGCCCAGCCGCTCCGCGGCATGTGAGATCCTCCCGCACCGGGGCACGAACCCGTGTCCCCTGCATCGGCAGGCGGACTCCCAACCACTGCGCCACCAGGGAAGCCCTCCATAAACGTTTTTGAACCACCTAGGTCTGCTCCCAGGATGTTTTATGAGATTCTAGCTGCATGATATACACTAGCTTAATGGATATAATACTGTTGCCAATTATTTTAGGGTTAATTATTTTCTTTTATAATATATTGGCCAATTAGGTCTGATTCATCACCACTGTGTGTTTTCTTTCTCTTTTTGCTAGTGATAAACAAGTTTTCTATTTTATCCTAACTTTCATCCTCTTGGGATTTTGCCCATCAAGAAGAATTTCATCTCCTAAAGTAACAGCACCATCATTACTACTTTTGTCATTAACATATCAGCACAGAATTTTTCCCTGGAGGAAATATGAAAGCACCAGAGGGAAGGATAAGCAACCCGTGTGTGGTCCTTTGCGATAAATACTGCCTGAGGCAGGAGAATCAATAAAAGACTTTTCGAGGTTGTTTCAATTACCAGGGTACCATATGCAATCATGTCTTACTGCTCTCCAGTCTTAGGTCCGCAGAGTCAGAGTCAGCCTCTGTGATATGGGTTCTCTGAAGGATCAGAGTGTCTTAGTAATGAATGAGCAGGTAATAAGAGTATTTGGTCTTCAGTAGAGTTGCCCCAGGTAGATCTTCAAGAGCCAGAGAAAGCCCAGGAGAGCTGACTAAATAGTTCTTAGTTGGAAAAGGCTTGCAGAAACTCTGCACCCAACATGTACACACTTCTGGTTTCATTTAAAGCCATCAATGTAATGAAGGTTGTTATTCTTAGCTGACACAGCATGGATATTAGGCAATCAGACCCTGAAGGTGGATGTGTATGAAGAGCTGGGGAAACCAGCTGCGCATGGGGGTGGGAAAGCTGAAAGAAGGAAACAATTAGTTTTTGGAAAGATGGTATTTAAAAGTTAGTTGAAAAGGCTGATCAAAAATAAAACAGAAAAGACTAGTAGCAGTTATGGGTCTGGGATATACTTTTCTTAAAAATGGACAGGCTCCCATAAATATAATGTCTCTTTTTGTCAGGCCATGATGTAGCTGAACTCCAAGGAAATGACCTGCTTTTACACTAGAGAATAGGTTTTAAGAATTTATCTTTTTCTTTTTAGAAGAAATCACTCCATTTGGGATCTTTCTAAGCTTGTGGCCAATGAGAACCAAGTACCCGTATGAATGGATTGGGGGTGGGAGACAGTTCGGGGACTCGGAATTGGTAAAAGGGGTTTTGTTTCCTCTTAGCCTTCAATGAAAGTTCCTTTCTAAAATGCCTTAAGTCTCTAATGGGAGCCCTGGATTTGGGCTGCCTTCCACAGGATGATTTTTCGATAGAATCAAGATAATATTGGCATCAGCTTCCTTGATAGGCAACTCTTTTCCTTTATTTATTTATTTTTTGCGGTACTCGGGCCTCTTCACTGTTGCGGCCTCTCCCGTTGTGGAGCACAGGCTCCGGACGTGCAGGTTCAGCGGCCATGGCTCACGGGCCCAGCCGCTCCGCGGCATGTGGGATCTTCCCGGACTGGGGCACGAACCCGTGTCCCCTGCATCGGCAGGCGGACTCTCAACCACTGCGCCACCAGGGAAGCCCATAAAGTAAATTTATAAAGATGAAACTCTAGACCTGCTTGAGCTTGAATCTGGGAGGCAGGACAGCAGTGGAGAGAATGCTGGCTTTGAGTCCAAATGACCCATATTCTGATTCCAGATGAGTCTGTTAACATTGGTATGGACTTGGGCATGCTAATCAAACCTTTGAGCCAGAGTCTCCTCATCTGTAAAATGGGATTAATAATATCAACTTATATGAGATGATGGACAGAACGTTTCAGGTACAGTGGGCACATAGCAGGCACTCAATAAAAGGTTGCTGTATCCTGTAATAAACCATAATGGAAAAGAATATGTATATATATGCATAACTGAATCACTTTGCTGTACACCAGAAACTAACACAACATTGTAAATCAACTATACTTCCATTAAAAAAATAAATTAAAAAAAGAATCATTAAATAAAGGTTGCTCTATTGATCCTCTGAAACTTCCCATCCCTCTCTCCCCCATGTTTCCATCAGCATCCTGAGGACATGCGCTTCCTCTGGCTCCGCAGGCTGCTCTCCCTCTCCCCTCACCTGTGGTGTCATGGCAGTCACAGCACTCCTGGGTGTCCGTGGGATCGGAGGTGTTGCAGCAGCGCAGGCAGCGGCTGTCATCCATGTGCAGCAGCAGGTTGGCAGGACACACAGTGCAGTTCCTGGTGCCAGGTCCTTTGCATTCTATGCAGCTCTCATGGCATTTTTCACAGTTAAATTTCTCCCCCTGTTAAGAACAATCAGATTCCTTTGGAGTGTGGAGAAATTAACAAGGCACCGGAGTTCCCAAATCCCTCTCCAATGGATAAGGGAAGGAGGCAGGTTGGGGGTAGCAGAAAGGTGATTTGTTCTGGGTCCATTTTTACTGTTCTGGGTGAAAGACAGAACCAGCTGTTTGCACTTGGATGGAACCATTGCTGAGCCTTTCCTCTGAGATCTGCTGGTAATCATAGTGAGAGAACAAGCTTCTAGAATAGCTCAGGTTACACACTGACAGCCATGTGTTGTACCTGGTCAAGGACGAGTTTTGTCTGGTCCGTACTCAGCTGGCCTTCTCAGTTAAAAGAAATTGAATTCATTGCCTGCATTTCAAAATTGGGATATTTCACATGTAAATCAGTGCTGAGTATCTCTTTAAAAACTGGAAGATTTATCAACATTGAATTCACCACTCCCACATCACAGACAGAGCTGAGTGGCGGTGGCCCCCTTTGTGTGCTCTCCTATTTGATACAATACCCAGCCCTTGCCACCTATGGTCAAGTTTGCACTGGGGTTTTCTTTGACCCAACACTCTTCACTCATTTACATGACCTGCTCTGCCTCTGTGATTATTAGGTTCTCGTGTCTCTGCCCCAGAATAATATAAATTGTGACTGTTAGCTAAAGCAGTGAAATCTCAGTGGGAAGATTGTTGAAGGTGAGAAAGTGGCTTCCCTCCCAACAAGTTGCTCCATTTCACTGGTGCTGAAAACGTAGATGAGGGAAGATACCTTCCTATTTCACTTCTGCACTTTGGAAGGCTGGTACAATAGAAAAAGAAGGAATGGAAATTGCCGTTGTTGAGCACCTTGGCAAGTTTCAGGTGCTGATAAGGTGCTTTCTCAGCTGAGATCTCATCAAATCCTGGGTTAGGAGTCAGAACCCCTGTGTTTAACCCCAACTTTGTTCCTTACTATTCGCATGATCTTTATCAAATTACCGTATTTAACCTCTTGGATTCTCAGTTTCTCCAAAGTGTAATGAGGGCTCTTGTCAGAATTTAAAGAGAATAGCATATGTGAATATGCTGGGACTTGTGAGTTTTACCATGGAGAGATTTACTTAATTTCTAAAGTTTGGAAACACAATCAAGAAGTTAGTGGACTCAGAAAATCCATGGTTTCTAGGCCAGGAAACAAAATATACCTCTCTCAATATATTCGAAGGGGTGGAGGAGATGAAAGACCAACATTGGTTATGTAGTTCTGACATTATTCAGACATTTCAGGTTAGCCAGCAGAGGGGGAGGAGAGAAGATATATCTTATTTCTGACAAAATATTCCTATGTAGACCTGAAACTTCTAAGGTCATGAGCAATATATTGCAGTCCTCATTAAATAACTTCCCCATTATTTATCTCAGTTCTTCTCAGTTCTTTTGATTGACATTAAGGCTACAGGTGGGTAGCACCATTATCCCACAGTGCAATGGTAGATTTTAAAATATTAAACCTGAACTATAGTGAGTGTAGGGATTTTATGACTTTTTTGACTTTGCCCAAAATGACATGCAGAAACTAGCTCATGTCCCTCTGTAGAAATGGTGGAAGACACCCCACGCCCAGCTCTGTACCTCTCCCACTCTGTACTCTCCCACGAGACAGTCAGAGGCGCAGATTCCTCCCACCAGGTGGTAACTCCACACACAGGATAAGCAAGTCAATGCTCCTTTTCCTGAAAGGAAAAAATGATTCTAAGTTATGAAACTGACCTTACATTTCAACCTCTGTCTTGGATCCAAAACACTTAGGAGCAAGAAACATGTCAAGTAAATTGAAGGAGAAGAGTGAATTGATTGAGGAAATGGAAAAAAAAAAAAGTCTATGAGATACCAGGTAAAGATCTAGAAATTATCCAATTAGTCTAATCAATGTAAACTCTCAATTTGGAAATAAGGGTTTGGAGATGACAGATCTTTTATTACAGCAAAAGGAAAGATTTTCAGAGAATGAGAAATCATGTAGAAAGTTTGTAAAAGCTTTATTTATCATTCTACTTATTGTTTAACTAGTAGAGAGGATGAGGATGATTTGGAGGGTCCCAAAACTCGATGAGTAAATCATGAATGGGCAGTTAACTAGTTGAGAAACAACACCAGACTTGGAATTTAAAATGCTAGGGCTAAAAGAATTTACCAGATCATTTTGTCCAGTAGTTATTTTTTATTTATTTATTTATTGGCTGCATTGGGTCTTCGCTGCTGCGTGCAGGCTTTTTCTAGTTGCGGCGAGCGGGGGCTACTCTTTGTTGTGGTGTGCGGGCTCCTCATTGCGGTGGCTTCTCTTTTTGCAGAGCATGGGCTCTAGGTGCACGGGCTTCAGTAGTTGTGGCACACGGGTTCAGTAGTTGTGGCTTGCGGGCTATAGAGTGCAAGCTCAGTAGTTGTGGTGCACGGGCTTAGTTGCTCCGTGGCATGTAGGATCTTCCTGGAGCAGGGCTTGAACCCGTGTCCCCTGCATTGGCAGGCGGATTCTTAACCACTGTGCCACCAGGGAAGCCCTGTCCAGTAGTTCTTAATTTTGGGGATTGTCATGATAGATTTCTTTGAAATTCTCTTGAAAGCTGTAAAATCTCTTCTCAGAAATTTGACATCCTATTTATTTAATTTTTAAATAAATGTAAACAAATGCCCAGACATGTGAAGTCACTCATTCAAGGTTTCATAGGGAATGGTTGACTCAAGAGTCAAATTCAGGTTTGTTGACTGACAGTGCAGTGCTCTTTGATCATACTATCTGCCTTCATACGTGAACCAAGTAGAGGAGGTGTGAACAGACAGACTGTTTCCTGTGGAGGTAATACCCTTCTCTCCTAATTCAGAGACCCCAAGAATGACTGACCCAAGTATTTCTTTCTATGCAGATATCAAGGGAAAACTTCTGGAGAGAGTTTGGGGACAGGAGACCTGAGCTCTAGTTCATTGAATTAGACAGAGAGGCAGGAGCAGAGAAATAGAGGGGGCATGGAATGTGCCTGATATTGTGATTTGCAACTTGATATATAGGACTTTTCATCAGAAAAATATTGTAAAGTGTGGTTAGTTGAAGTTGAACTAGAACCGTGAGTCCTGTTCTTACATTCACTCTGGATTTAAATCGACTTTTCTTGTCTGATCTGTGAGCTCAATCATTTATAATGTTTCTATGGAAGAATGAATTCTGAGTTCTGAACAACAGCTCAGATAATAAACCTTTATTACCCAACTTCCTCTTAGATTGGGGGCTGCCTATAGTGGTATCAATTCAAAGCCATTCTATTTTTATCTTACGTCCAACTTCATACAGAATTTCCTACATGTCCTGGGACACAATTTTGGTCTCTGAAGAAAGAATCAATCTTCCCCTACTTCTTTCCTTTTCTCCCTGCAGTTTTCTGAAATACAGCTTAAATGTCTTACTCTGATTTTAAAACATAGAAGTGTGGGATTTTTTTTCTTTATGAAGAGAAATTAAAGGTAGGAAAAATTAAAAGAGAGAAATGAAAGGGTAAAAAGATTAGGTCACAAAATTTGTGTCTTAAGTTTGGTTACATTTTCCAGAAGGCCAGCAGCAATTCGGCCTAGATCCTGGGCAATCCCCAGAGGCACTACAAGCCACCTCTGGGTGACAAAACAGGACTCCATTTACATCGCCTACATTGATGTATTGCAAAATCCGCATACTTAGGGTACTCTGTGTCTTTTGCAAAAGGTAGTTGGCTAATTTCCAGAATGTTTTCTATTTTTTTTTTCAAGTTTAACATCTTACATTTATCATTGCTTCCAAGGATCTGCAGGAAACTTGGCACCTATAAAGACAGCTTTGGCTTTTCCATAAAATTTGGAACAGCTCACCATCTGCTCTCCCTTAGAATGACCCCCACGGGATGAATTCAGCCCCATGCAGAGCCACCCCTGGGGTCTGTCCATGGTGTCATTCCACACCGGAAGAGAGAGGCAGCTTGGGAGAGTTAGGAGGCTTTGGTTAACCAGCCTGGATTTTTATTTAAAGCAATTTTGTGTGGACGATAAATAAAAAGTTAAATGTGTGAAGGCAAGGAATGAGCTAATTATGAAGGAACCAGCTGCATAAAAGATACATGTTGGTCATTAGTATGCTGCCCTCCCCCAACACCCTTAGTTCTTTTTTTTTTTTTTTTTTTTTTTGCGGTACGCGGGCCTCTCACTGTTGTGGCCTCTCCGGTTGCGGAGCACAGGCTCCGGACGCGCAGGCTCAGCGGCCATGGCTCACGGGCCCAGCCGCTCCGCGGCATGTGGGATCTTCCCGGACCAGGGCAGGAACCTGCGTCCCCTGCATCGGCAGGCGGACTCTCAACCACTGCGCCACCAGGGAAGCCCCCTTAGTTCTTTTAAGTATTTTTTTAAAGTATTTTTTAACACCCTAATATTATTGGGCAGTCAAATGTGAAGGAAATACAATCTAGTTGGTAAATTACTTATTTAGGTTGGGAAAGTTTCCCTGTATCCTTCATGCATCCTCATTTCTTAGTATGACAGCTAATATTTTAAGAAGGAAGGAACTCATCCTTTATTTTTTTACCTAGTTTATAACCCAGGAGAAAACCTGTCCCCAAATTTTGTAATCTATATATTGCAAAATCAGAAGGCAGCACAAAGATTCACTAACCAGCAAAGGACATGTGTGGTAGGTGAAGAAAGGATGACAGAAGAAATGAACAACAAAGATAGAAATCATTAACCAGGAATATTTGGAATTCAAGTCAAATACAGGAGGAGGAGGCACAAACACTCAGAACGGCTTTAAGATTCACCCAGATATGCCCAATCATCCCTGGAATACAATCTCAGGGAGACTGTATTGATGAGCTTTATTTTTTTTTAAGACTTTATTTATTTTTGGAGTTTTTTTTGGTTTGCAACAAAACAGAGAGAGAGAGAGGGAGAGAGAGAGGTACAGAGATTTCCTGTATACATAAAAAAATCATATGAATTCAGGTTCTGACATAACCCCTTTATTCCAAACACACTGAAATGAGAGAATAAATATAAACAGAGAGAACCAAAAAAAGAGATAGGTCGGCTCAAAAGTAAGATGGAATCTCTCTGGACCAGAAAGGGAATATAAATGCAAAATAGCAATCAGATTCAAGCCACCACGTGCTTGGCTCTGGGCCTAAATGTAGGCAATCGTGGCTGTGAGTTCAACTTTTCTACCATAATAGGAAATAAAAGTGTTTCATATAAGACCTGCACCAAAATCCAGGTTTAGAGCTTAAAACAGGAGTCAGGGTGGGACTCTCTGCCCTCATAGACATCACCTCTTGACCAGGAACTCTCCTGGGCTGCCAGCTGGATTGCTGATGAGATCTGCAGTGACATCAGTATCACCTCCAGGAATATTGGAACATCATGTTTCTATACTGAGTTTCAGGGTGGGACATGGGGTAGCATGAGCTGAAAAAGTAGCAGACTGTGAGGAATAAGGATGAAGGGAGAGAGAAAGGGAGTGAAAACCAAAAGCAAAGTCTTCCATTCAAAATGAGCTCAAGACCAAAATTTCAAAGCATGTAGAAAAAAGAATGTTAAAAGAGAAGGTAAACACAATCAAGCATTAACTTACTTCAGATAATATTAATTTCATAGAAAAGTTTGACAAACTTAAAAATTAGCATATTTCGTGGAACAACTAGGCCCGTGAGCCACAACTACTGAGCCTGCGCATCTGGAGCTTGTGCTCCGCAACAAGAGAGGCCACGACAGTGAGAGGCCCGCACACCGTGATGAAGAGTGGCCCCCGCTCGCCGCAACTAGAGAAAGCCCATGCACAAAGACCCAACACAGCCATAAATAAATAAATAAATGATTTAAAAATTAGCATATTTAAGATGCTTAAAAAGTAAATGAAGACAAAAATATCCTCTCAAAAAAAACCTGAAGCACAAACAGGAAGATATGAAACAAAAATAGATGGATATGAAAAACAAACCATTAGAAATCTTAAAAATAAGTCATTTAAGTTAAAAAACTAAAATAATAGGTGGACTGAATTTTTATTTTATTTTATTTTTTTTAAGATTTTTTTGGTGTGGACCATTTTTTAAAGTCTTTATTGACAAAATGAATGTGGTCCAATTCTTGCCTTGAGGGTCTCATCAGCAAGAGAGCTGGACGTTTAATTAAAATGTAATGTATTGAATAAAAATAGCTATGATAAAACTGTATTATAGAATCAAGAAGAAGGAAGAAGACTTCTGGGAAGACTAAGAAAAGCTTCACAGAGAAGATGATATTCAAACTGGGTCTTTAAGTTGAGAGTTAATAGAGTGTTGTTCTCCAGGAAGAGGAAATGCATGGACAATAGTCATGTAGGCATGAGAGATCATCACCTATTTGGAGGCTGCTGAGTGGCTCTGGGTAGTTCTAGGTTCTGAAGTACATGGAAGGAGAGTTGAGACCATAAGCTGACCAGGGAAAGAATTTAATCACTTTTCAAAAACAGAAAACATTTATTGAAAGTTTATCAAGGACAAAAAATGAATGCATAGATTGGAGAGATATACCATGTTCATAAATGTGATGACTCAGGATCGTAAAGATGAGTTTTAATGCAATGTCAATTAATATCCAAGGGATTTTTTTAAATGAAATGTGATAAAATTTACTTGGAAAATAATAAAAGTTACTTGGAAAAAGAGCTAGGAATAGCCAAGACAATTTTGAAAAGGATAACAGGAATGTACCATACCAGGTATCAATATTAATCTAATAAGTTTTAAGAATAAAAACATTGTAGGAGGTATTTCTTTCTTAAATGGTGAGAGGAATTCACCATAATTACCATTCTATGTCAAGCTATGGAGAAAAATGAGCAAATTTGAATTTTAGAAAGATTGCTATGGCATTACTGTACACGATGACCTGGGAGTGGGGTAGCAAGACCAGAGTTGGGGTGACGTGCTATTTCAGAAAGTCAGCTAAGCGATGCTGAGAATGAAGAATGAGAATAGTGAGAATGGAGAAAGAGATCTGAGCAGAGAAACGTTTAGAAGAGAGAAACAACAGACCTTGAAGTTTACCTTTGTGCATTGGACAGGAGGCAAAGGGAAGATAACTTCAAGGTATCAGATTTGGGCAACTGGTTGGACAGTGGGTCTATTAACAGAAAGAGTGAATATCAGAGGAAACTCAGATTGTGTTTACTCTGGGACATGTTGATTTTAAGAATCTCTGGGACAGACAAGTAAGTCTCTGGAAAATAAGAATGGAGCTTGGGACAGTTTTAGGCCAAAATCTTAAGTAGTTGTTGAAATAATGAAAATAAATTTTGCTTGGCATATTCCCAGTTCAACAGGTAGAGAAAGAAGACAGTAGGTGGAAAACACTTGCTGTAGGGGACGATGCCTGTATATGGGCCCTGAAGGATGGGAAGGATCTGAAGAGGCAGCAGTGTGGTGCAGGATCAATTAGGGTTAGAGGGCAGATGTGCAGAAGCTGAAAGAGAACAAAGGGTGCTGATGCTGGAGAGGACTGGCTATGAGGTTGGCAAGCAAGAAGACCCTCCAAAGGTGATGAAAGGAGAGAGGGACAAAGCAGGAGCAAACACTTCGCATTTTTCCATTCACACATGCGAAATGATAGATGGCCCTCACCTTTGCATTTGTCACAAGTTGGGTGGCATCTCTCACAGGTCTGTGTGCTTTGCTCTGCGTAGTAATGCTCTGGGCAGGTACGATGACACTGTCCCTTGGAGTGGAGCAGAAAGAAGAATGGATCGCAGGACAGGCAGTCTGTGGGCCGCGGGCCACTGCAGGCCTTGCAGCTCCTGCTGCAGCTCTCGCAACGCCCCGTGGAGTTTTCTGCGTAATACCTGAACCAAGGAGGGAAGCAGAGACTCAATATTAAGCTTTGCTCCAAAGTTGGGTGTGGTGGAAAAAATCATGGTTACAAGCTGCGTGCCTTCAGACTCTTTACTTATTAGATTCATGACTAATTATACTAATACATCTAATGAGTCTCAGTTTCTTATCTGTAAATTGGACATTACCATCCCTCCTCTGCTATTTGTGGGGATTAAGTTAGATGACACATATGAAAGGACCTAGCATAGATCACATGTAGTAGTGCCACAATAATTGTTCACTACCCCTGCCTTTTATATACCTATATGCTCTGCCACTTTAAAATTCAGGTGTTGGGGCTTCCCTGGTGGCGCAGTGGTTAAGAATCCACCTGCCAATGCAGGAGACACGGGTTCGAGCCCTGGCCCGGGAGGATCCCACATACCGTGGAGCAGCTGGGCCTGTGCTCCACAACTACTGAGCCTGCGCTCTAGAGCCCGTGCTCTGCAACAAGAGAAGCCACGACAATGAGAAGCCCGTGCACCGCAAGGAAGAGTAGCACCCCTCGCTGCAAATAGAGAAAGCCCGGGTGCAGCAACGAAGACCCAACACAGCCAAAAATAAAAACAGATAAATAAGTAAATTTATATAAAAAAAAATTCAGGTGTTAAGTCATATTGAATGGGAATGGGAGGTATTTTAAGTGTACTCCTGAGTGGTTTTTCTAATTTCTCAGTTAAAAAAATCTTGAAATAGGAGGTGACATGAGTGATATTGACCTTTACATAGATGCGACCTCTTTTGAAAAGATTTTCAGAGGCTAAATATAATAATAATTACCATTTGTTAAGTTTCTCCTATATGCCTGACACTACACTGGAGACATCATAAACATTATTTCACCTCATTGAGTCTAAAAATGAGACATTAGGACATGGCAGTTAGGAGTGTGCCCTTTGGAACAGGAGTGCATGGAGTCAATCCTCATGTGCTGTGTGACCTCAGGCAAGTCACACAACATCTCTGTGTCTCAGGTCTGTAATATGGGGCTAATATTAGTAGCTAAAATTAAATAAGCTATTACTGAGAAGCTTGTTAGAACAGTGCCAGGACCATTAGAAATACAGTTGATCCTTGAACAGCTCAGGGGTTAGGGGCTTCAACCTTCCATGTAGTCGAAAATTTGCATATAATAATATATAGTTTTTTTGCGTGTAATACTGTTTTTAAAAACTATAATAATGATAGTTGGCCCTCCATATCTGTGGTTCTGCATCCTTGGATTCAACCTACTGCAGACTGTGTAGTACATATTTAGTGAAAAAAATCCACATATAAATGGAGCCGTGCAGTGCAAACCGCACAGATCAGGTGGAACCATATTATGCAAGGTCCACTCTCATTAATGTATATTATTGATAATTATGAGTTTTATGATTAATCCTCACAGCAAACCTTATGATTTAGATATTATCTGTATTTTACATATGTAAAGACTGAGGCTCAGAGAATTTAGTCAACTTGCTTAAGGTCAAAGGGCTAATGAAGTGGGGCAACACAATTTGAACATATCCATTAAATGCCACGATAACAAGCAATGCATTATTTGAAGGTAAACACAAGATTTTCAAGTAACACTGAAGGGAGAAAAGGAACCATTACCAAAGATAAACCTGTCTGGACGTTGGCACACTGACGCTATCCAACGGAAACATCAGTCATGAACTGAATAGTTGATAAAGATCACCTACGACTCAAAAGAGAAAACCATAGGAAAAAGTGAAAATCCACAATTTTCCGCAGAGGGAATACACAATATTGAAGTCAGAAGATCTGATTTTTTGTCCTGGCTCCACCAAGTATTAGTAGCCATGTGACCTTGGGCAAGTCACTTAACCTCTCTGAACCTCAGTTTCCTCATCTGCAAAATGGAGGGAATGATATTAATCTCATAGGATTGCTGTTGAATCAAATCATAATATAAAGATACATTGTGAGTGCAGATACTTTGTAAACTTAAAGCAGCATAAACATTGGTTACTCATGTTGTTATTATAGATTGTTACTAAGATGAAAAACAACAGTAGGACCCCTGGGGAAGAAAGCTTATCAATACCGAATAGGTTTTTTTAAAAAATAAATTTATTTATTTATTTTTGGCTGTGTTGGGTCTTTGTAGCTGTGTGCGGGCTTTCTCTAGTTGCTGCAAGCCAGGGCTACTCTTCCTTGCAGTGCATGGACTTTTCATTGCGGTGGCTTCTCTTGTTGCGGAGCACGGGCTCTAGGTGTGCAGGTTTCAGTAGTTGTGGCTTGCAGGCTCTAGAACACAGGCTCAGTAGTTGTGGCACACGGGCTTAGTTGCTCCTCGGCATGTGGGATCTTCCCAGACCACGGCTCGAGCCCGTGTCTCCTGCATTGGCAGGCGGATTCTTAACCACTGTGCCACCAGGGAAGCCCCCAAATAGGTTTTAAAAATTATTAAAGAGTGATGCTAAAGGAAGACAATGGTGAGTTGTCCATTGGTTGTTTCTGATGAAAAGAAGAGCACACTGCCACTGCTTACCTTGATAACTCCTGCATGAGGTGACTGTGAAATCATCCGAGCCTCATAGCCTGGAAGAGGATCTTGTGCAGAAGTACAAACAATAACTGGGGCCTTACAAACCTGCTCTGAGGTTAAAAACCAAAGTAATGATGTGCATGGGGTCAGGCTGCAGAGGATTACACACCTGCCTTCCCAAGGCGATGAGATTTAACATACGAAGTTTATACATGTGGATCATTGATTTTACAAAAGGAACTAGTTCAGTAAAATATCACCACTTATAACTCATTTATACCCCATTTACTCGCCTTTAAGGGATTTACGGCAACCTGTGCCTCACCTCCCAATGGGTAACTTCACATATTATGGAGGAATTGCTTTCTTAATTTCATGGTCTATTTAAATTTTGTGTGTGTGTGCACAGGAGTATCTAATGACTTGATTTGAGAAAGATGGGATCCAGATTTTTCAAGCACTTATTAAGATGAAGATGAAGGGCTGACCCAGGTAGCCCCATCCCCCTCTTGTCTGGCAGGAACCTCTCTTTATTGATCTATATGACTGGTGTTTTTTCAGGGCTGCTAATGTGTGTGGCTCTGTGCTGAGTGTTGTTGTAACCTGTGTGAAAAATAAGATGCGTTTCTCTTCCAGGAGCCTATAATTTTCAGGGAAAGAGATATATAAGAAGAATAAGCTCTTAAAAAGTCTTTTTTTTTTTTTTTTTTTGTGGTACGCGGGCCTCTCACTGCCGTGGCCTCTCCCGTTGCGGAGCACAGGCTCCGGACGCGCAGGCTCAGCAGCCATGGCTCACGGGCCCAGCCGCTCCGCGGCATGTGGGATCTTCCCGGACTGGGGCACGAACCCGTGTCCCCTGCATCGGTAGGCGGACTCTCAACCACTGTGCCACCAGGGAAGCCCCTTACAAAGTCTTTGTATTGCTCATCTTATATCAGTACATACAAGTGCTCTTTATTAAGCATGTGTTGAATGAATGAGGTGAATCAAAACACAAGGCAGTGATACAAGCAGTAATTGCTATAGAACTGCAAACAGCAATGTGCTAATTTCAGCAAAAGCATTTGGGGAAAGTCCAAAGTTATAGCCCTTCAATTTGGGTCTGGAAATTCTCAGTGCTTTGAGTTACTGATTGGGAAAGAAGAGTTAGCAATAGGCCTATAATCAGTCTTCCTCTTTACTGGGAATGCCTGGGGGGGAAAAGATGACCCAGTCAAATCCTCTTCCAAATGTGCTGGTAACCAGACCTTCTGATAAACACACTCAGTTTTTCCTTGCAGAAAAACACGTGATGGAGGGCTCTTATCTGTGAAATGCTTTTAGAAGGATACATCTGTGTATCTGGGTTGTTTATGGTAACTAAACCTGTAATTTGTGGATGTGTGGGGGGCATAGCAGGTTGGAGAATTAGTAGGGTATAAATGGAGATATTTAAGTGAAATTGTTCCCTTTGTAAAATCAATGCACCACATGCAGTGCTTAGACCTCACATATTAAATCTGGTCCGAACAAATCGTAATGCAAAAGGGAAAGAATCTACATTCATGGGTTTGGACTTCTCTAACAGAAGAATCACCTCTGCCTTGTAATTGCTTGTATCCTTTGAATTAGTGATGTGGGTCTGACTTGACAATCTGACTCTTTGTGTTATCTCATTGGGTCCCTCTGTCTTTCCTGTTTACTCTTCCGTTACTGTGAACTTGCCGAAATCCTCTGGAGACCATTACAATGGGGTTGGACTCTCATCTTTGTTTCTTACTAGCAGTGAGACTTCAGTCTGGTTATTTAAGTGTTCTGAGACTTAACTTCCTCATCTGCGAAATGGGTTTGCTCATAGTGATATCTGGAGTGGTTATGGGATTAAGTGAGGGGAAAGTGTGTTGAGCACCTTACCCTTCTCTGCACTGGGGCAGACACTCCTTTCCCAGCTGGAACCACCCTGGCTGGCAGGAGAGGCATTGCATGCTGTGTCTCCCTTCACATGTCCTACAAGAGCTGTGGCAGGGGGCACACCGGTGGCTGTCCTCATCAGCATAGTAGCCCTCGGGGCAGTCCTGCACGCAGGTCGTGTCTGCCAAGGGATGAAAAGAATCTGTCTTGGTATCAAGTATGACACATGTCTTCCAAACTTCTATATGCTCCCCACCGTACACCATGGCGGGTGGGGGGATGCAGGAGGAAGGAGACAGTGTCCCTGTGGGCTGATGGGCATCCCAGGAGCTAAGATGAATGTCCAAGAAATAGAATCAACCATAAGGACATTAGGAGTTGAGAAAAAACAGAGGTCAGAGTGGATGGGCTCTGTTGGGCAGGACAGAAACCACCGTCTGTTAAAGTGAGGAAGAGAATGTACAGGGTCTAGCAGGATGGGGAGAACATTCAAGGCAGGGGCTAGGGTAGCAAGAGTCAAGGCTCCACTGAAGAAAACAGTAAGTACAGGGCCAATGCAATGACAAGTTCCTACAGTCTCAACTATTTCTAGCCTAAAATATAAGATTTTACCCTCAGTTTTGCTGTGCTGTCCACACAGTGTGACTCTTGACATTTAAGTGAATTAAAATGAAAACTTCAGTCCCTCAGCTGTACAAGCACAGATATAGAATATTTCCATTGGGACAGAAAGCTCTATGGACTGTGAGACTCTTTTTTGCCCAGTATTTAAAAAATTAGACTCTAACTGTAAATCCTCTGCTCTATACAGCAAGATGAGTTGCAGGGGAGTTCAGCCACACATAACCCCATTCCTTCCTCCACCCACCCCAGTGGAGTCACTGATTCTTGCCCTTTCAACTTCTTTAACAGCATTTAGGGTGGACGGTGAGGGTGGATTCACGATAAAGTTAAAACATGAGATTTGCTGGCTTCGCAGTTTAACATACAGTCTTAGAGGCAACTCTGCCCCAAATCTGCTTAACCTCATAGACCAGAAGCCAGACTCTCCTGCCTTATTAATGTGAGCCACTGGTCAGCTCTAGACCAGAAGAAGGTTTGTCTCCATAACTTCAGTCAGCATTAGCACAGGCACTGGGGGAAAAGGAAAAAAAAAAACAAACCCCAAACTAAATAATACGAGAGCTCTGTAAGTGCTGTGGACCCAGCCAGCTCTGTGCTGGGAGACCCTCTGAGCTGCTCGAGGGCAGGGGCCACGTCATTCATCTCTGCTTTTCCAGCTCCTGGTTCAGTGCCAGGTCTTCCAGTGGCTGTTCTGTTAAAGATGGATGTTGACAGTGGTTTATTGTCCAGCTGATGTATCTAGCTAACTAGGGGGAAGCCTGAATCCCCTGAATGTGAAACACCTCTTCATTAGTTTCCTATTGTTGTAACAAATTACCACATAGTGGCTTAAAACAATACAACTTAATAAATCTTATAATTCTATAGATCAGAAGTCTAACATGGGTCTCCAGGGCTAGGGAGAAGCTTCTAGAAGCTCTGGGGGGAGAATCTGTTTCTTTGCCTTGTCCAGCTTCTAGAGGTCACCCACTTGCCTTGGCTTGCAGCTCCTTGTCTATTTTCAAAGCTGGAGTATCTTCTCTCTGTTCTGATGTCACATAGACTTCAACCACTAACTCTGGTTATCCTGCCTCCCTCTTACAAGGACCTTGCAATAATCCAGGATAATCCTCCCAAATCAACACAATTAATTTAAACACATCTGCAATTTCTTTTTCTTTTTTTTTTTTTGGTCATGTAAGGTAACATATTCATGGGGTCTGGGGATTAGGTTGTGGACATTTTTAGGGAGAGCATTATTCAAACTACCACAGCCTCCAGAGGAATTATCTAGTTTATAAGTAGCCTGACCCTGGTGGGGTGGTGGTGAGGGGCGGGATGGGAGAATATGAGAAGACCAGGTCCTAGCACAACCCACATCCAGCCCCTGGGGGACCACCAGCACCGAAGTCTCAGTTCTAGTCTAATTCCTATCCCTAGTTAAAGGGAAGACCACCTTGTAGTGATAAGATGTATTCCTGTCTGTATGAAGGCACCTGAGGTGATCACTCGTAACACTCTATATTGGAGATAATTAGAAAAGAAGGTCCTGGGGGTTGAGGTGATACAGGAGATCTGGAATGGTCTCATGAAGCCGCAACTGCTGGGAAGAAGGTTCATTGAGATTTGTGGAAGAGGAGCTAAGACAGATGGATAGGTATCCTCAAGTGTTTTCTACCGGGAGGCAACCAGGAATGGTATTGAGGATAGTGGTCCCCGTGTCTCTGCAGGGAATTGGTGCCCTTGCTGATGGTACCTCAACAAGAAGAGGAAAGAGTTGCCACACATTTCTATTTGAGTGTCTTGCTTCTCAGGTCTACTCTGCCGGGTTGGAGAGATGAATGCTCACACTCTCCAGGTCTTCACATATTCGTCTCTTCTCTCTCTCCTACACCCCTTCACTCTTCCTTCTTTCAGTTGAGTTCTGTTTCATCTTCTTTCTCCCATACCCCTGTTAAGCCTAATCGTGGTATCTCTGGAAACCTGAGGGTGCTGCTTCACACTGGCAATAACCTTCACATCTGATCTGCTGGACAACCTCAGATTGTCCCACATTTTGTTCAAGATTTATTAATCAATGGGAACTAAATCAAGGGGAAATTTTCCTGAAAAGCTGAATACCTGCCTGTTCAGAAAGCATCTCTCCACAGACTGCTCATTAATCACAAGGGAAAACAGGAACTCTGCAGTGGAGAAATTGGACAGCACCCTGAAGAGAGGACCAAAGTTAACGTCACCTGCGAGAGGCAGGTGACCACTGGGCGCCTCCAAAGGACACGGCATCACATATGAAGTATCCCGACTGAGGGTGCACGATCTCCATCTAATCATGGAAACCTTCACACAAACCCCAGTGGAGGGACAGGGACCGTGTTCTTCTCGAATGTCAATATCATAAAAGACAAAGTCTGTGGAAATGTTCAGATTAAAGGAGTCTAGAGAGACATGGCAACTAAATGCAATACCTGACTCTAGACTGGGCCCTGATCTAAAGGGGAATTCGCAAAATTCTAATATGGACGGTTCATTAAAGGATTGTATTAAAGTTACTAGACTTGACAACTGTACCGTGGTTACATGAGAGAGCATCCCTATTCCTAGGAAATACATACAGGCAGACCTTGTTTTATCGTGCTTCACAGATACTGAGTTTTTTTATGAAGTGAAGGTCTGTGGCAACCTTGCGTCGTTAGATGATGGTTAGTGTTTTTTAGCAAAAATGTATTTTTTAATTAAGGTATGTACATTGATTTTTTTCTTTGACATAATGCCATTGCACACTTAACAGGCTACAGCATAATGTAAACATAATGTTTATATCCACTGGGAAACCAAAAAGTTTGTGTATCTTGCTTTATTGCCATATTCATTTCATTGCAGTGGTCTGGAACCGAACCCACAATATTTCCAAGGTATGCTTGTGTTAAAGTATTTGTGGGAAAGAGGCCATGATGTATGTAACATATCCTCAAGTGGTTAAAAAATATATATTGCAAATTACGTATGCGTGTACGTCGAGAGCGAGAGAGTGAGAACAAGAAAACGATAAGGCCAACGGGGCAAATGGGTAAAGGGCACGTGTGCGGGGCTCTTTGTACTGATCCTCCTCTTGCGTCTATTCTGTAGGCTTGAAAATTTTCCAAACACAAAGTGAAAAATTACAAAGAAAGACGCCAGTTTCTACTGGGTGCCACGCATTGTGCACGGTCGTTTCCCAGATGGAGGGAAAGACAAACCCGTCCTCAGAGGAAAGGTAACTCACTGAGAAGAAGGCTGTCCCGCAGGCAGGTGTGACACTGGTCCTCCGAGGGTCCCGTGCAGTGGAAGCACTTGGTATGACAGGCCTTGCAGGCCAGGGCCGCCTCATCCCAGTACTCCATGGTGGCGCATTCAGTGTGAGGCACGCAGCCCCCGTGGTTGTTCACCCTCAGGCCTTCTTGACACGTGGTGCAGGTCCCCGAGGAGGAGCAGGTCCGGCAGGACTTGTGGCAGTCTGCGGGCGGGGTGCAGACAGCAGACGGAGAGTGAGAGAGGGTCAGGGTGCCCCTTGAGGGAATCGGTTCCCCTGGAAAGTGTGCTCACCTTCCTTCCTCGGAGATTTCTAGGCTCTGGGCCAAGGGTGTGGCCAGGAGATGGGCTCTAGGCTGGAGCATTCTTGTTACAAGATGAGGAAAACATGGCTGCTTCACTTTCCCTGGGATCCCCAGAGAGCCCCTTCCTGCAATAGCCACCTCAGAGATAGTGGTAAGAGCCCCCTTAGTTACCCAAACTGCAACGTGCTAAGAAGAAGCAACCCTGTCGCAGCACAGCCACGCACTAGTCTGTGGGCTTCTCACCACTGTAATTCCTCTGCTGTGGTTCTCCACTGACCGCCCAGTAATTTGAGCTTATTACTAACATAACAGCTGTTAATATGTGTTGTAAGTACCTCTTGATACAAAAGACCTTTTTTATAGGCATTTAGGAATGCACAGTGCCTATGAGAGGGCCTGGCATATAACATTGGCACTCAGTAAATATTTGTTAGACAAAGGAAATGAGAACAAGTCACTCCCACCTCGGGGGGTTAGCAGTTGCCGTTCCCTCTGCCGGGAAGCCTCTATGTGAGTAGTTTGTTCCCTGTGTGAGTAGTTTCTTTCCCTCCCTTTTTCAATGATCTCTTCCAGGCCGCCTTCTCTCCAATTTCAACTCCCTCCTGCCCAACTTCCTGCCCCCCTTTCCTGCCTTATTTTTCCTTTTGACTGGCTTCTTTAGAGTCTGTTTTCCCCGATTGAATGTCAGCTCCATGAGGGCAGGATTCTGTCTGTATTGTTCCCTGCTGTGCCCTAGGCCTGGAAGAGCACCCAGCACATAGTAGGCCCCCAGTAAGCACTGCCTGGATGAATAGATGCATGGTATTCTTCTTGTGATTGTTATCTTCTCAGTGTATCTAGATCAGGACATTGAGGCTGGAGGTGCTAAGTCACGAGGCTGGGAAAGGGCAGGGAGAGGAGATGAACCCAGGACCTTAACAAGAGCTCTTGGCCATTTCTGCCCCAGCGCCTTGGGAAGGGTGAGGTGTTCTTAGACCTGTCTATGTTATCTCGTAGGGAGAAATTCAGGGTGATCAGAATGGATCCCATTCTTTGTGTTTCTTAGAGGAGAACCTGCTTGGACATGGCTTGGTTCTAGAAGCTTCTCTACACCAACCCAAATCTTAATTTTCAGGTCAGGTCCTTTGTTTCTTCTCTGGCAAGTCAGCTTGTTGCCCTGTTTCTTCCAGTACCAGCTTCCCTCCGCCTCCCTTGGGACTGATGGAAGGAGAAACAGCATTGCAGGGAGAGACCTCAGGTTAGTTCCCAACAGCTGAGCTGGCCAGAGCTCGGGCATCTGTGTTTTTTTTTTTTTTTTTTTTGCTGTACACAGGCCTCTCACTGTTGTGGCCTCTCCCGTTGTGGAGCACAGGCTCCGGACACGCAGGCTCAGCGGCCATGGCTCACGGGCCCAGCCGCTCCGCAGCACGTGGGATCCTCCCAGACCGGGGCACGAACCCGTGTCCCCTGCATCGGCAGTTGGACTCTCAACCACTGCACCACCAGGGAAGCCCGGGCATCTGTATTTTTTAAAGCTCCCTGGGTGGTTCTCATGGGCAACCAGGGATGAGGACCAGAGGCCTTTCTCAGTGAGAAAATTAAACCGTTCTCTATATGGCAGATTACTTTTACTATGGAACACCTGAGAAAGGCCAAAAGTCGATCCTCGGTTCCTGCCCTAGTACAGGCAAGATGGCCCTGCAGGCCTTTGGCTGAGGCTTTAAACTTCTCATGGAAACTGACCCACAGGTTTGCAACCTCCTCACATGTTCACTCCCGCCCCCTCCGCTACACAGGCACAGCCGCCCATCTTTAAGTCCACGTTCTTTCACACAGTCAAGTGGGACATTGACAGTAAGTAGTGCTTTACATAAGACACAAAAAGTTATACGCAGATTGTAAGGCTAGAGCAGAAAGGCTGTAGGAGCGCACTGCATCTTCATGTTTGACCAAAAACATTTCCCTGAGTACGTTCTAGGATGTGGGTGGCCCAAGGTTTCTCCTGCCACGTGAGTTCATGCTCAAGCTCTCACTGTGGTTAGGGGGCTGCCTCTGGGTATCTATCTCATGTTTGCTTGGTGGCAACATAAGGGGCTAAACTACCACTGGCTGCCTTGTTGGAGTGAATCCTGTGATTGTAGTTGACAATATTGTATTGTATACTTGAAAGTTGCTGAGGGAATAGAGCTTAAATGTTCTTACCAAAGAAGAAGAAAAAAAAAGAGGTAACTAAGGTCAGTGTTAACTGACCTTACTGTGGTCATCATTTCAAAATACATACATATATTAAATCATCACAGTGTACGTTCTAAACTTATACAATGCTATATGTCAATTATATCTCAATAAAACTGGGGGGGGGGGGAAGGAAAGTCCTGGGCTTCCCTGGTGGCGCAGTGGTTGAGAGTCCACCTGCCAATGCAGGGGACACGGGTTTGTGTCCCGGTTCGGGAGGATCCCACATGCCGCGGAGCGGCTGAGCCCATGAGCCATGACCACTGGGCCTGCGTGTCCAGAGCCTGTGCTCCGCAATGGGAGAGGCCACAGCAGTGAGGGGCCCACGTACTGCAAAAAAAAAGAAAAGGAAAATCCTTTCCCTAAGAATGCTTCTCTCACTTGCTTGAGAATTCCTCTAGTGATGGGCAATTTATATTTAATTAATTTTTCTTTTCCCTGACAACGGATAAGAAGCAAAGAACTCACGCCCACTTAAAACATAAGGAAGCATAAATAATAGCAGATCCTTTCTTGAACGTGTAGGGATTGAAATGCCAAATGGGACATGGAATAGGAGACCCCGGGCAGGAGAGGCTGCAGGTGATGAAGACGAGGGTGGCTTTAGGGAGACGAGAGGCTTGGAGAAAACCCTCTATGGTACAGCTTTCCTTATGCTGCTATAAACCTATAATGGATTAAAATTTTAAGAAAAAATTTCCATTTTGGGTGACTTTTAAAGGCCCGTCATCTCTGTTGTAAATCTTCACATGAGAATCCTTTTTGATCAGCTACCGTTGTGAGGAGGGTCAACGTGATTCATTGCTAATAAGTTACATCATCAAAGCTAAGGAATGATTCATTTAAAATAAATCATAAACTGGAGCAGGTTCAAAATATGCTTCCTTAAGGAGGAGGGAAAGAGCTGACACCACAGCTCTGGGACTGGGATGGAACTGCGCAAACCCCAGAACCTACTTAGAAGAAACACATCATCCCAAGTAGGTTCCCTGGGATGTGGTGCTCGGCCATTTTACCCGGAAGTCTTTACCTTTGCAAACCTTAGACCCTTTTTCAAAGTAAGTTCCTTCTGGACACTCCTCCAAACACTGCCCATCGTAGAGAAACAAGGACGCCTCAGCACAGAGGTCACAGTCATCCATTGAGGGGCCACTGCACTCCAGACAGTCTTCATGGCAGGGAACACAGTGCTGCGCATCTGCGTAGAAGTGCCTGGGACAGGACTGGTGGCACGTATCCTTGTACAGGAAGGACTCAGGCATGCATTCTGTGGGCAGAGGGAAGCAGCAAGTTACCCCCAGGGGAGCAGCAGAAAGGAATTTATTCATTCTGCAGTGGGCTAGCCCATCGCCCATCTCTTTGACTCATTTGACCCCAGTGTACATTTGCCCCACTCCCACCTTCCCAGGGCCTGTCCTCCTTGTCTCACAAGCCCTGCCTAGGGAGAGGAGACCACTTATGGTGGCCCAATTAGATGGTGCTGGGTTCACATCCTGAAATGATCTGCCCCTTCAATTGCAAAAACTTGTAGTGCTACGGCAGATGAGTCATGGAGATGCTGGACGTGTTGTTCGAAAACCCAGAAAGTATTACCAGATTTTTAAAATTGTATTGAGCACCTCAGGCTCTATTTAATACAAAATGCAGTTTAGGAATTCGTGGATCAGTTAATTTTTCATTCACTGATAGGGTAAACCAATGAAATATACATGGTTAATCAGTATGAAGAATGCATTGTATATTTATTTTATTTGTGCCTATCCTCTTATTTGGGGAGGAATTCCAGAAAACTCTTAGGTTACACCAAGAGAGTCCTTTGGATTGGACAGAGCCAGTTAAATGAGTCTGTCTTGTCCTGGAGAGGAAATTAGCCTTTCTTAGGAGATAATTTCAGGGAAAAAAAAAATCCTAGCCAGAGTGCTACTCTCAGAGTCTTATAGTGGCCTGAAATTTTCTTTTGTATCTTTTATAACAGTTGAAATTCTCCAGCCACCTCTATTTATTAATATCAGTCTCTCCTATGAGATTTTGTGTTCAAAGAGGCAGAGACTTTGGGTTCTTTTCTGTATCTCTAACACCTGGGATGGTGCGTACCACACCCTAACTGCCCAGTACATGTGTGGGAGAAATCGTGCAAAAAAGGGGCTCTTGTCTGTCTTAATTTGCAGACTCCATCATGGAAAGGCTTTATGTCACCCTCAGTCTCCTCAACGACACCCATGGAGGTCAATTTCAGTAAAGGTAGGGAGACTGGCTCCTCCATTTCTCCTTGGACAACCCACCCTCAGATAGTGGGTCCCCACACTCTCCCCTGTGGGGCTCCCAGGTACCTTTGCATATTTTCTCATGGATGCAGTCCTGACACATCTCTGGACAGTGCTTGCACACCCCCTCCACGGCCACGTGCCTCTCGGGGCAGGTTTCCCGGCATACCCCGTGGTCAAGGACGAGGCCTCTTTCACACGAGTGGCAGTTGGAGGCATTCCCTTCACATGTTCTGCAGGAAGGGCTACAACGTTCACAAGTACCATCTTCTGCATAGAAGCCCCTGTGGGGAGAAGAGGGAGCCCCTGGAGAAGCTTTCCAACTAGGGCAGTGATTCACACCTGGCAGCTGAGACTTAGGACTGAAAACGGGAGGATCATGGCTATTGTTGACCAAAATGAATCCATCAGAATTCCTGGGGAAGTGTGGTAAAAATCAAGTTTGGAAAAATAAGATGAAAGGCATAGGTATTATTCTTGTGAATTTTGTGTGTTTGAAAACAACTTTTAATTTGTATATAGTTTAGTTATCTTCCGATTTTGTTTTATCTCCTAATCTTCATTTGTTTTTCCTTTTTTGTTAGAGACTTATGTTAGAAGAGAAAATGCTTTTTATTCAATTTAGTATGTTTTTAATTTTAAAACAGTTTAAAATTTAACAGATAAAAATATTTTTAAGAGGATCAAAAGGTTTAATGACCTATACAATTTTTGTATATGAAAAGGAAGGGAATACCCTTGGAGTAATCATTTAAAACATGAGGACCACCTGTGACCCATAGAGTATTATAGCCAGCAGCTGGACCCTGTGGCATAGGGATACTCTTGCCTTAGACCCATTACAACCACTACCCTTCTTGTTAAGGCCACCAAGAAAATTGTTGTGGAATCCCCTTTAACCATTTTTGCTCCTCATGAAGTAGAAGCTCTCCTGAATTCTCATCACATTCAACATTTCTCAGCCAGACACTTCCTATGAAGTCTTTTTGTTAACCGCTCCTCACATAACTCTTTTATGTTATAATAACCTTAACCCGGCTACTTTTCTTCCTTCCATCGCTGATGAAATACCCCACCACTGGTTAATGCTGACGGACCGCCTCCTGATTCCTTATAATGATCTACAGGACATTCTATTGGATAACACTGACATCTTGTTCACGGATGGTCTTATTTAACAAGGTGACAATAGTAAATATTGTGCTGGGTATGTTATTACAACTCCTTTTGATGTTGTTGAAGCAGCCTCTTTACCTATGGCTACTTCGCCCCAGCAGGCTGAATTATATGCTCTTACACAGGCTTGTACTTTAGCTGAGGACAAAACTGCCAATATTTATACTGATAGGAGATATGCTTTCAGAATAACGCATGGTTTTGGAATGTTGTAGAAGCAAGGTAGAAATAAAAATTTAAACGGCCCCTATGTTCAGGAATCAGTGGATACAATACTTTTACCTGTCACTTTAGCTATTAAGACTCTGGGGCTTGTAGCTTGACTCTGGAAGTCAAAACTACAAGCTAGGGGAAACCATCCTGTTGATACTTTCGCAAGGAATGATGCCCTTAAAGGGTCAAAGAGCAGCCAAGTGATATTTTATAATATCATTTCCCCAAGTGATAATTTAGAAAAAATGGCTAGAGAGGCCCAACAGTTGGCCTCAGAAAAGGAAAAAAAAATTTGGAAATTCAGTAGTTGTTAGTTTGATTAAAAAGAGAAAGCTCTAGTGTGGACCATATAACAAGCCAGTCCTACTGGAGACTGTGAAATTCCCACTCCCCACCACTGTACATGCATTAAACCTTCAGTCTAGGGCTTCCCTGGTGGCGCAGTGGTTGAGAGTCTGCCTGCCGATGAAGGGGACACGGGTTCGTGTCCCGGTCCGGGAAGATCCCACATGCCGCGGAGCGGCTGGGCCCCTGAGCCATGGCCGCTGAGCCTGCGCGTCCGGAGCCTGTGCTCCGCAACGGGAGAGGCCACAACAGTGAGAGGCCCGCGTACCGCAAAAAACAAACAAACAAACAAACAAAAAACCTTCAGTCTATGACAAAATGATAGCCTTCATGAATCAGTACTGGTGGGGAAACATTAACAAGGCAACAAAAAGTATTTACCTCATTTCTCCCACTTGTCCAAACTACAGCCCAGGGAAGGCTCTTCATACTGTTTCCTGACATTTTAAACTGCCTGATGGACCACTTGAGGTCTGGCAAATGGATTACATAAACGTCCTCTGTCTAATGGATGTAAATATGTTTTAGTCATGGTCTGTATGTTTTCACTCTGGACTGAAGCTTTCCCTTGTAGACAGGCTACTGCCTTTCCTGTGGCTAGATCCTTTGGAAAGCATTTTCCCTGCCTGGAACTCTTCTTGAAGTTCATTGTGATTGAGGAACCTATTTTATTGATCAGGTACTTAGATAAGTCTGTACTGTTTGGCCAGTTTTACAACACTTTCACTGTGCTTACCACCCTCAACTCTCTGGTTTAGTAAAACACACTAATGGCATTATTAAGACTCAGTAGGAAAAATTTGTAGAGGTCCTCCAAATACCTTGGCCACAAGCACTGCCATTGGTACTTCTAAATCTCATATCCACTCCTTTTGGAATTCATAAGCTCTCACCATTTGAGATAGTCACAGGATGCCCAATGAACTTGGCTTCTAGTTATTTTGACCCTCAGCCAATAAAAGGAGAGGTACACCAATATTGCAAAGGCCTAACTGCTTCTATTAAAAGTAAACATGCTTTAGTAGAGCAATCTTTTCACAGTATGGCCATGGGAGATGAAGACCTTAAGCATCATACCTTGCAAACTGGAGATTTCATCTCTTGGAAAAGATACCTCCAGAAGAACTCTCTTTAACCTTGCTGGAAAGGCCCCTATTACATACTGCTAACCAACTCTTGTGCTGCCACACTCCAAGGAACAGACTCTTGGATTCACTGGACACACATAAAGAAAGCACTGAACCCTGATTTGACCTGCACATCATCTGGGGCCCTGAAAGTAAAGATTTCCCAGAATTGAAGCAGATGACATCTGATGAGACGACTTTCCCAAGATATCTGGACTAGACCTGTTGGAAGTTGTTGCCAAACCTTTGATGATGACATCTTCAAATGAACTCCAATATCTATGATCTTCATAACATATGGACTGTAGATAAAAAGTGCTGGAGATTTCTCCCTCCTGCCACTCCTTGTTACTTGAATGTGACCTTACTAGGTTTCCAATCTGTACAGTTTCCCTCTGACATGAGACATTACACCCAGGAAAAGTCCTTCCTGACGTTGAGGGACAAAAAGCTGCTGAAATTAGAAAACCTGATTCTTGATCAGTGATCTTGATCAAAAGGGGAAAATGTAAAAAAAAATAATGAGAAGCCTCAATTAAATAGAGTTGGGAAACCAGAAGGGGAGTTCTCACACCCTGTGACAATAGCAAAGTCAAAGAGGAAGAAGAAAGTCTCCTTTTCTTTCCTGGCAAGGACTCAGCCAATGAAAAGCCACAAACTCTTTGTTTACTAAGCCCCCCCATCTTCTTTTCCTCTCTATAAAATTGTTCTCCTTCCTTTGCTGTGCAGGAACTTGCATGTGGCCCACCATGTTTCCAGACCTTGAATTGCAGTTCTCTGCTGATCCCAAATAAACCCATCATTGCTGGAGAAATACCTGACAGTCTGTTCATCAGGTCAACACAGGCAAGCACATTTCATTTTAAGCCTCTGATTCTCTTCTGGTAACATGCCATTGGCTAAAGCAAACCAAATTACCCAGACCAAAGTCAAGGGTCAGGGAAGTCCATTCTGCTACTCATGGGGAGTGCCGCAACATTACAGGCAGAGGGCATAGATACAAGGAAGGGTGAAAATTGCAGCAAGTAACTCAATTTACTACAGTCCTTTTTGAATCCTAAAGCCAATAAAAGAACCTTCTTATATAGCATCTTTAGTTGATGTTTTAATTAATTAATCAGCTAACTCATTCACATCCATTTAATCATTCTTTCAGTCACTAATTTCTTATATTCAGTAAACAAAAATGTACTGAATGTGTCAGGAAGAAATAGGACAGGGGTGAACAAAAGTCACATTTCTAATGTAGTTTTAAGTAGAAAAACTGGAGAAGAAAGAAGTGTAGGTAGAAGAGGGGTAACTAAGTAGTGTCCAGATGAAAAGTAAGGCCAGGCTTCCTTACTCATTAGTATCCTTAGTTTTTCTTTGGACCATGATGGAGAACACTTGAAGAACAAAGACAGTACTACTACTTTGTCCAACAAGTCAATCTCTTAAAATTGCATTTAACAAGACCGTGGATAGAAATGTATTATATGCTCATCAAGAGTTTGATTGAATTTGAGAAATTTGAAATTAAGGAAATTTAATGCATTCTTAAACGTATCCCATCTACCTGAATGAGAATTTGGTAGATTGATTATTTCTTTGTGTGTAGAAAGGGATTTGGCCTCCTCCAAAGAGAGGTCTAGCCTTTCTCCCTAGCTAACTTCTAAATTCCTGGAATTCACCAAGTGGTAGGAATGTTATATGCTCCTCTGACCACCTTAGAATTTATGCTAACAAAATAACGCAGAGTGGGACCAGTCAGAGTCTGTAGTTTTAGGGTGGGGATTGGCCATGCAGGAAAGACCAACCTGTGTTTAGTGGCTGGGGGCTTTGGGCTATGTGATATCACCTGGCTTCTGGGGAAATTTCAGTGCTAGGCCTGGTCAAGGTCTCTGCAGAATAGTTGCTGGGCACTTAAGGTAAGCAATTCTAGTACAGATTTTGAAGAAATGCAGCATGAAGAAAGCTTTCTCAGATTCTTCTCATAAGGGAGTCAGTGGATGTTGGAGGAGTTGCTGAAATGAAAGGAATAGATTCAAGCAAAAAAAGAAAGCAAAGCTGTTGAAGACGACTACTAATTCAAAAATACAGGAATCTCAGAAACTTGTCAGATGGGAGGCAGCTAGAAGGCAACGTGAGAAGGTGTTTTTCAGAGAGCCACTTTGCTGAAACCAGCCTTCTCCGCATAGATCTGGCCAGTAATTAGTCTTCCTGTCTTCTCCCTGCACTTACAAGACTTTTTAGTTAATGCTTTATTTCACTGTTATTTTTATTTAAGAAGACAAATTTTTTTTGGAGAAGAAATGGCCACATGTATTAAACTGTTAAATTCAAAGTACTTTACGTTGAAGTCTTTCGATCCAGATAAATATATGTAATTCAAAAGCTGTGTGGTTCTGGAACTTTATGTATATTTTACAAACACCTAAGACAGTGACAGCCAACGCTTAAAGGAAGACCATGTTTTCTTCCACCAGAGCTTCAAATCTGTTCATACGTGGTGGATTTGAGCACACTTTAAGTTTTGCGTTACCTTTTAAACAATTACTGTAATGATGTATGTTACCGCTCGAACTTTTTAATTTGATGAACATATACCATATTTGAAAAAGCAGTGGCCACTAATGCCGATTTATAAATAATTCTGAATACCTGGATATCATTTCTTTGCAGGTTGTGTTTCTGTTATAAATCTTATTGCTATTTTAGGATGGATTGCACCCCAAAGGGCAATTTTGCAGAAAGAGAAACAAAACTGCCTAGCCAAGCTGGGTATTATATGTTCCTCAGACTTTATCTCCCCTGTTGTTTCGTAAACATAAAGACAGAGGACTCCACAGTAATAAGACCACCCTATTTAAGACAGGAAAGCACGTACTTGCGATTCCATAGTCTGCAGGATTTTCAGGGCGTGTTAGTAGCTTCCCTATTGCTTAAAAAAAAAAAAAAGAAAAGAAAATATCTTGGCTGCCATGTATCTGCATAGGGTCCCATTGCTTCTTTTTATTTCTCCAAATCTGAGTGGCTCAACCCAGATTTGGAGAAAAAAAGTGTGGAATGGTCAACTAATTGGAGGAAAGCAAAATGCATCTCTTTCTGCCTCACTTTAATGCATTTTCAATTCCTGGAACATTTGAAGAATCCAAGAGATGGTAGGAAGATGGTGGTAATGATTAGATAAGTAAGGTGATGATAATGACAGCCAGTTCAGTCCCACCGTGACAAAGGTTAACAAGGACGCAATGATTGACTTTGGTAAGTAGATTTCTGACCTTCACCTTTGTTGTAGAATATCTTTGCTAACTTTGCTGAGGCGGAAGCATGGTGGCTGGGGAAGGAGAGCTGGGTGTTCCCTGGCTCAGTCTCCCCTCATACTCCTTTCTCCCTGCTGTGCTGGGTTCTCTCACCCTGACCCTTTCACCATTAAGCCTCTTCTCAAATACCCAACTGGGGAGGAAACTTGAAAATATTACGCTGAATAAAAGAAGTCAGTCACAAAAGGTCACATTCTGTAGTATTTATATAAAATGGTCAAGAATAGGCAAATCTATAGAGACAGAGAGTAAATTAATGGTTGCTTAGGGCTGTGGGGAATTGAGAGTAACTGCTAAAAGGGTATAGAGTTTTCCTTGGGGGGTGATGGAAGTATTTGAAAATCAATTGTGGTGAGGGTTGCACAACTCTCTGACTATACTAAAAACCATTGCATTGTACACTTTATGTGGGTGAATGGTGTGGTATGTGAATTATATGTCAATAAAGCTGTTATAAAGAAAGAAAAAAGAAACTCCAGTTGGATGAAAATGTGGCATAGTGCAACGGTTAAGCACATGAACTTCAGTACTACAGAGATTTGGGTTGGAATCCTGACCATGCCATGTGTTAGCAGTGTGATGTTGGGCATGCTACCCCTTTCCTCACTCATAAAATGGGGGGAAATAATGATATAGTGTCCCTCAGTAACTGCAGGAGATTGGTTCCAGGACCAGACATGAATACCAAAATCCATGGATACTCAATTCCCATAGTTGGCCCTTTATATCCGTGGTTCTGCATCTGTGGATTCAATCAACCATGGATTCTATAGTACCGTATTTACTGAAAAAAAACATCTGCGTGTAAGTGGAACCTCACAGTTCAAACCTGTGTTATCCAAGGGTCAACTGTATCTGGATAAGAAGATTCTTGTTAGGATGAATAGGATGGTGCCTTTGAAACCCTTAGTGCAGTGCCTAGATATTGCAAGCTCTCAGTAAGTAGCTGTTTTTAAATGGTTTCTTCTTCCTTGGAAACTTTTAGCCCTTTGTGTATTAAGGACCTGAGAAGTATGACATTGATTGATGTAACCTTCCCGACTGGATTGTAAGCCTGTTGTAAGCTCAGACTTCCTTCACTTGATCTTAGCTTCCAATATCAATTCTTACACCCAGTAGGTACTAAACATGTATCTGTAGAATTGAATTGGATACATTTGGCTTCTACACTAGATTGGATGCTTTTTTTAAAAAAAAAAAATTATTTATTTATTTATGGCTGTGTTGGATCTTCGTTTCTGTGCCAGGGCTTTCTCTAGTTGTGGCAAGCGGGGGCCACTCTTCATCACGGTGCACGGGCCTCTCACTATCGCGGCCTCTCTTGTTGCAGAGCACAGGCTCCAGACGCGCAGGCTCAGTAGTTGTGGCTCACAGGCCCAGTTGCTCCGCGGCAGGTGAGATCTTCCCAGACCAGGGCTCGAACCCGTGTCTCCTACATCGGCAGGCAGATTCTCAACCACTGCGCCACCAGGGAAGCCCAGATTGAATGCTTTTTGAGTGTCAGTACCATGACTTATATTTGTACCCAACAGGATCAATCTCAGTAACAGATACCAACAGGTCACTAGAATATAGGTGTTTTTATCATGTTCTTTTAAGCAGTGGGCAAATAAAATTTCTAGTTCCTTCAGATGTTGTAGGCTGCTTCCCCAAACTCATTTCTTGCCTCCCTCTCTCCACTCTTCCTGGCTGTCGGTGTTGTGATTTTTGTGGGTGTTCAGGGGCAAATCTTGTTCAACCTACATCAATCCTTACATTTCCATTCTCCTTGCCAGCGATCAGTTTAGGAAGATGTTAGTGATGCATTCTGGCTGATGAGATGTGAAGGGAAGTCTGAGGGAGTTTTCTTTCTTCTTAAAAAGAGATAAACAAGGAGAAAGGCACCCTTTTCTGTCTCAGGTTGTTGCAGTATGGGGTGGTGCAGTTGGGGATGGACAGACAACGTGGGCTCGGGGGAGGACAAGCTGAGGAAGGTACAAGAGGAAAATGGAAAGATTGTGGGTTTCTAATGAAGTGTTGGCCACTGAAATGACCAATACTAGATTTCCAAACTTTTTATTGTATGCATTCATACACCCCATATTTTCTGTCCTGCTCTTTGACATTTCTGCTGCTTGTCACTGAAATTTTCCTGATGAACTTTTCCATTTGCTATTCCCACTTCCAATTTAGGTAAATCCTGGAGGCAGGACCATTGATAGGAAGAGTAAAGGAATTGTAAACCAGGGGACCAAGGAAGGCATGAGGAACCAATCAGTAACTAGGCAGGTATTACTCTTTATTTATTATCTGTGATTCATACCTCACTTTCGACATGTAGAAGAGGTCTGTGTGTTCCACAGCCTATCACAGCCTCACTTTTGTGATGGAAAAAAAAAAAAACCCTGACAACTGTTTGATCATAAATACAAGGTAAAAAATAAACATATTTTCGTAAAGGTAAAAATATATACATCTCATGGTCACAAGGGAGAAGCGTGCATCTGGCCTTATGGAAAGGGCTGCTGTGACTGACAGTGATGTCAGACAGTCGAGAAGGGAGGCGGATGTAGGTGTTCTAACCAAGGAAGAGAAGAGGTCTTTGGTGAATGGGAAGGAATTGCCCCCAAAGTACTGCAGGAGAACGAACACAAGTAGCAAGTGAAAGGAAGAGGAAAACTTACTCAGGGCACCTGGTTAAGCACCTGCCTTGATGGAGGAGGAGGGGGTGGTCTGGCTGCGTTTGGCACTCTTTGCAAAGATTGGCTCCAGAGCAAGAGGCACAGTCCTCTGTACAGTTCTCACAGCTGCCGCTTCTCACTGAGGGCCACATGCCTTGGGGACAGGATGGGACGCAGGTCTGAGCCAACAGATATGTGCCTAGAAACCCAGGGAAGAAGGCAGATCAGACGGTCATCGTGTGTCTAATCTAACAGCACACGCATCCACGCAGAGAACTGACGTTCCTGACAGCTTTTTTTTTTTTTTGCGGTACCCGGGCCTCTCACTATTGTGGCTTCTCCCGTTGCGGAGCACAGGCTCCGGACGCGCAGGCTCAGTGGCCATGGCTCACGGGCCCAGCCGCTCCGCGGCACGTGGGATCCTCCCGGACCGGGGCATGAACCCATGTCCCCTGCATCGGCAGGCGGACTCCCAACCACTGCGCCACCAGGGAAGCCCCTGACAGCTTTTTTAACTGCTCCAAAGACCTGAGTATCGGGAACACTTATATCAGGATTACCAAAATATCTATTAGTGACGCTAAGTCCCCGAAGATGAGTTAAAGCTCTAGAAAGGAAATTGACAGCAGGCTTGTTTCTTTGACTTTCCTATTGATACTGCTACGGGTCACCATGGGGCTTCCCATTGCCCAGGTGGTCCATCTATTGAGACCTTTGTCTTAAGAACTTTGTCTATTAAGACCTTCCTGGTGTGAGGCAGTTATACACGCACATCTTGATGGAGTCTGTTCTGCTTCCCAAAGCCTATCCTGTTAGGACACCAACATAGTAGCAACCCTTCCACCCAACTCCACCTTTAACGGACAGTCCATCTATTTAGTTTTAATGGGAAAAAAATAAGATAACATTATTTTTAAAGAAAGCAATTTAAAAATCACCCTGAACTCCAAAATTCCAAGAAAACTCCACCAATTTTTGTGTGTCGACTTCTATATACTGTAGGAGTAGGATCATGGCATACCTGTCATTTTAAGTTCTGTTGTTTTTGCGTCTCATCTCACTATTAACATTGCACATTTCAACATAATGATCACTTTAATAGTGATTCTTAAATTCTTAATTCCTAATGTACCATGTTAATAAACTGTCCCCCTAATTCAGGGAACTTATTTCTGATGTGTTTTTATAGATGATGAAGCAATTAATTTGTTGAGCTGTTATGTTGTGTTTTTTTTTTTCTCCCCTAAATTCAGTACCAAAAATGAAGAAAAATAGCAGGTAGACTCTCTATCCCCACCTAGATTCTCCACCTTAATTCTCTTGTTTCAGCTAATGCACTTTAAAAGAACAATGGAACCTCTAGAAAGGTCAGACACCCAGAGACCCTAACAAACTCTGCGGCCAAATCAATCACTAACTTCATCGTGCTTTTGGAAAAGAAACATTTCTTTTCTTTTTTGTTCTGGTCCCTTGAAAGCCAGTTTTTATTATAGGTCAGTGTTTAGGTCCCTGTGTTTCTCCAGCGTAGCTACTGTGATAGCAACATGTGATGGGACTAGTTCAAGTCCAGCAAACCCCTTACACAGAGATGCTGATGTACATGAGTTACAGCAAATTGGTTTTGCCGCTGCTTCCTTCTGTCGCACGCGACACTCACCTTTTGGACACGAAGTGCACAGGGTTGCAGATCCATGGCAAGTTTTGCAAGAAGAATGACAAGGCTGGTATCTTCCCAAGAGGTCTGTGTAGGGAAAGAAACAAGAAGTCTGTCTCTTTTGAACAGGTTCAGAGCCCTGCAGTGTTGGAAAAGATCTCATAGGTAATCTCATTTCCCTTTTCACCCCAAATAGAATCCCTTCAGGTTGACATTGGCTAAATCTTTGCACCACCCACTGCCTACCATGTGGACTTCATTTATTTTATTTTTTTCTTACTCTGTCATTGACAATTGATTATCAAGACTTTCTTTGCAGACTATCCTATTAAGACAGGATAGCCTTAAATACTGAGGGGATATTTGAATTAACAAATTTTACTTCTTTCATATTTAAAAAATGTGTGGGGTAAGGGAATGTGTGGTTGTGTGTACGCATGCAGGAGTTTTTGCGTCAAAAGTAATCACTTATTTCTCCAGCATTCTTAGATGACCACTTCTCTTCACTCCAAGATGATAACTGAGAATTCACTGTGCTTTTTTGATGTTGTTCTTTGGAACCAGATTTCACAGTTGGTCAATGTTTGGGTCTCTGTGTTCTTCAGAGTAGCCACTGTGGGATGCAGCCTAAATTGATCTCCTCTTAAATTTGTCCCCAATGTTAAACATCAGTATAGCAGAGGCACCCGAGAGCTTTCTGGTTGGTCAGGTGGTGGGCAGGCCATTCCAGGTTAATATGCCATTAAGCTGGGAAACATGCGAGCTGTTTCCCCTCTCTTCCGGCACAACCATTTGCTGGGCAGGCTTTTCCAGGAAGGCAGCAACTCCACTGGGCAGTTGTGCAGACATACGTAACAGCCTCAATAACATCA